CAGTGAGAGCCATGTTCACTGAACCCCCATTCTACATGGAAAGGGTCAGTTGGGTGTATAGGACCAAGCTGATGGAATAGCCTTAGCTCTTCTATTAGTAATTCCAGTGCATCCGTGTGTTGTTCAGTCCACTCCCATACTTTTCCCTTTTTGAGTAGGCTATAAAGGGGACGAGCAATAATGGAAAAGCCAGGAATATGTTTACACCAATAAGCCAGAGCTCCCAAAACTTGTTGTAATTCCTTTACATTAGATGGATTTTGTCCATGTTCTAAGTTTTCTAAGGTGTCCTGAGGGATAGAAGCAGCTCTTTTAACCCACCAGACGCCCAGGAATTTAACCTCTTGTGCGGGTGCTTGACACTTTGAGTCTGGGATTTCCAAGCCCAGTTCAACTAATGTTTTCTGAATGTTTTTCATTGTGTCTTTTACACTTTCTCGGTTTTCTCCCCCTATCAGGATGTCATCAATGTACTGGTATACTGTGTTGCCAGGTGGAACAGGGATCTCTGCTAAGACTTTAGCCAAAGCATTGTGGGCAATGGTTGGGGAATGTTTATATCCTTGTGGAAGTCGGTTAAAAGTATATTGGATCCCTTTCCACGTGAATGCAAACTGTGCTTTGTCCTGCTCAAGGAGGGGAATCATAAAAAACATATCCTTAACATCTAAGGCAGCCATCCAAGAATGTGCAGCTCCTTGTATCATTGTTACAATTTCAGCAATATTCGGAACTGCTGCAGTTAGGGGTGCAATATTGACATTTAATTGTCGATAATCTACTGTGAAACGCCATTGCCCAGTGGGTTTCTTTACTGGCCACACTGGTGAATTATAAGGTGAGTGAGTTCTTTTAATGATGCCTCTTTTTTCTAACTCTGTTACCACCCCGTCAACCCCTGCAAGTGCTGCTGCAGGCAATGGGTATTGCCTGACATTGGTAACTTTAGATGGAGGTAAGGGTATAGATGTTTCTAGCAGATTTAACCTCATTGTGCCTGATCCATTTTCATGTCCTGCAAAACTCCATATAGTTCCATCTGGGAGTTTCCATGGTCATCCATACAATAAGTCAAATCCTAGAAGGTTAGTATATGCAGCACCAACTAATACTTCTGCCAGGGTCAGTCTCCATTCCTCTGGCAACCAGAAGGTTATTTTTGCAGTGAGGCATTCCTTTATCACACCATCAATTCCTGTGAATTTAACCCGGCGTCAGGTAGGTTTTATACCCAGGGTTTGTGCTGTCTCATTAGTGATCACTGACATTTGGGCTCCAGTATCAATGAGGAAGTTTACCAATATTTTCCGGGGTCCGACCGGAATGGCAATAATAGGTTCAGAGCTTTTATTAGAGAGCCATTGTATTGCTAACACCCACCGGGCAGGGTGGCTCACATCCTTAAAATGGAATGAAAATAGCATCAAGTTTGTGTTTGGTCACATCTTGAAGGGATTAACATGGCTAAGTCATTTGTTTCCTAGGTGTTTTCTGTCTGACGAAGTACTGGTGGCTTTTTTTTTCTCAGTCATTACAAAGTCTTGCTGACAGAATTAGTAGCAAGATGGTTGTATGGGTACTTGATGTTATACACCAGACCCTTTCCTATTTCATTAAGTGTACCTGTGGGGCAAGAAGAAGAAAGATTAAACTAATCCTTGAGGAAAAATAAGCCCAGATAACAATTCTTTCCAATGTTTTCTACCCCGCAGAAATTTCAAACCAGTGTAGCCCTCTGCCATGCCATAAAGATGGATATAAGGATTGCATAGATGGACAAGCCCAATACATGTGTGTCTGTAAACCGGGATGGCAAGGAGAGAAATGTGAAGAAGGTAGAGTCTCTGATCTCATGATGATTTTAGTTCTCTGAAACACAATTATAGTTCTACTATTATTGAATAGTATCAGATCTTTAAGTATACCCATACAGTTGATCAGTTAATGCCTTCCTCTCAGCAAAGATTCTTATTTTGTTTTCCTTGTAGATATAAATGAATGTGATGACTTAAATGGAGGTTGTAGCCAACGCTGTTCTAATTTACCTGGAAGCTACCGTTGTTTATGTGAAGATGGCTACTTCATGCATTCAAATAAACGAGATTGTGGAGGTAAGAAGTGAGGCTTAAGAACATGACAGTACATTGCTCGTTGACAAGAGAGAGGAAAGAATTTAGTCCAGTAGTTTCATAAATGGTTTAAGTCAACAGAAGCTTGCATTGCCTCTGAAAGATGTAGTCCTGCTTCAACTTGGCTACTTATTCCACCTGCAGCCTTACACCTCTGCAAGCATTTGGGCAACCATATAGTGAACCAGATCAAGGAACTGAGGTGGGTTGAAACAGTTCAGAAAGGGAAAAAAAAGTGAAGAAAAAAGAGAAAGGCTATAGATTAGATTGTGTTTCATTACTAGAACTCCTTAAAGCTTGCTTTAGTCACTAATTAGTTTCACATACCCGTTAAGCATGCTGAAACAAGAATCTAGAGTGGTGTGACCAGCTAATATTGTTTCCATGGAAATCCTGTCTGGTGAACACTGGGTTAGCCTGAATCACTTCTAATTAGTGATGCTACTCTTTTGGGAGTTTGAAGTTCATTGGAGAAGAAACTATTAATGAATCTGAAAATGCCCTTAATGGAGAGACAGATTTGTCTTTTATTCATTCAGAACAATTTTTTTCTGTACATGCTTGCATCTGTTATTATTGGCCAAGACATACATGCTTTGTTCCTTTCCAGATAGAAACTTTGTACTGACATAACTAGCAATTCTTACTGCATAGTTAGAAAAGAGTACAACCTCATTCCATTTTAATGTCATATTTTATCGCCCAACTATAACAACAGTTTTAGATAATATCAAACAATTTAAGAAGCCAGACTTGAGAGTTATCTCCTGCTGTTACTTCCTTTAGTCTATATATTTTTGTGAATGAATAATTCCCAAAGAAATTCCAGAATAACAGAAGACTCTTTTTTCATCATAAAGCACAAGCAGACAAGTTTTTAAGAATCTCTGTAATTCTTGGGAAGATACTGGAAAGGTTGGTTAAAAATAAATAATCAAAGACAAAACCACACTAATAAATCTTAGTACTTACAGTGCTGGTTTGGTCATTTGATATACCAGATTTTATGTGTTTCATTACATCCAACTACAAATTTATACACTTTGGAATTTGGAGTACACACAGTAACTGTAGAAAAGTAGGTCAAATTCAGGACAGCTTTCACTTAAAAAAATGTTTTGGGAGTCCTAGCAAGCCGGTGGCAGAATCTATTCACCCTGTTCAGCACAATTTCCACAACTTCCACAAAACCACAGAGATAACTAGAATGATCCCTGCACAGACAAGTGGGAATTGAAGTACTACCAGGGAGCTGTTATTCTTCTGTCTACAAGACTTCTAGTAAGATTGATACTATACTCTGTGTCCAGCTGTGACATACACATTTTGAAAATGACATTGAAAAATTGGTAACACCACATAAGATAGACACTAAAATGGTTTGAGGGATGTACAGACAGTGAGGGACTTGAACACCTGTCAGCATAGCCAGTTAACAGGTGATTGTGACATAAATTGATTGTAGCATGTAAGAAACTGATAGGATTATCTCTTGTCTTTCTAGATGTCTTTTTGTAAGGTAAGATTTTATTATGCAGTCTGGTTTAGTTTATAGGAAATCTGCAGGCTGTTTCTCTCTCTGCCTTCCTGGGCATGCATCCTTTTTCCTGTTACAGAACAGACAAGAGAATGCAAAAGTTAGGCCAGCAGGGAATTTGTTTTCCTGGTCATGCAGAAGTGCCTTTTGGAGACCTTTGCAGATCTTTATGGCTATAACTATAGTCTGCTATGAAAGCTTGGTAGACCTAGCAAGAAAGAGCCAGTTTACCCTCCTCAATCAGTTGCAGTTTTGGATAGGGTTAGGAAAAAGTTATATGCTCAAGAGTAACTTGTTTGCAATAACTTATTTGTATTTCTAGATATAAACGAATGTCTGTTACACCCAAACATCTGTGGGACTGCCACCTGTAAAAACACCCTGGGGAAATATGAATGTGAATGTCCAGAAGGCTACACATACAATGCAACATCCAAGAACTGTGAAGGTAGGTCTTTCTCCCTCTATCCCCCCTTTTCTCTTTCTTTAATCCCAAACCCTGTGCACCCCCTTTAAAAAACAAACTCCAGCATCTCATCATGGTGGTATATCTTCATACTGTTTATTATAATATGACACAATTATTTGTTCTTTCAGAGGTTCAGTCAGTCTATATTACATGTAGTGTAATGCAGTAGAATGACTTCATCCCAAATGTTGAAGGGTTTTACAGTTTACTACCAAGTCCTGCTGTATGCCAGATAACTTTCTCAGTTGATGGGAACGCTCCTGTCTTACTGTAGAGAGGACTTCCTGTCCACGTTCTCAAACCAGCTAGCATGTTTCTTTCAGATAACTTGGAGCAATGTGTTGAGGATCTGGACGTCTTGAGGATCTAGTGTCTTCTACCTAGTTCTTAAGCTTCATTACAGTTATAAGGATGGAATAGTTGAGATCAATCAGTTTAATATAGATCCCTAACTCAAGACAAGCTATAGCAAACACAATTAAAACTCCTTATTTGGCAATTCCAAACTGGGCAAGACAGGAAGATTTAGAAAGAGATAATTGCCAGAAATTAAAGCCATGCTTAATCATGTTGTCTCAAAAACCTAAAAAGCTTGTCTTTATCCTTCTGATAGGCTATCTAGGTGCTTATGGTCATGGCAAGGACCATCTCTGTCCTTTCTATGTCCTTAGATGTCAGATATTGGAAAGAGCTTTTCACTGGGTCACTGAATTCCATTTAAAATAAAATTTGTCTATTCCTTCATTGGGGTACCTGATTATAATATAAAATAACAGCATTAGAGTGAGATGATCTCCATTCTAGGCTGGAAATGATAGCATGGCAGTAGGATAAAATATTTTTTCTAAAAGCCCCACATTTCAAATAAAATTGTTCTTAAGTATCCAGAAAAGGAGCTATGAAAGAAAGGAGCTGCACTAAAAGAATCTTTCCTCAGGAGTAGTCTTTTCTGAAATGAAAATCCAGAAGAAAGAATTTCAAAACAAAGTCCTATAATAATTATAGCAAAGTTGAAAAGTGTTGATAAGCTAGCAGTAAAGCAGGAAGAAACCATTTATACACAGCCCATCATAAAATAACTTTTTCAAGTATTGGAGTATTTGCGTACTAGAACATATTTTATTTCTATCTACTTGTTAAAGTTTGTTTAGTACACACATCAGAAATTGAATTTCAGTTGTAAAAGAGATACATAAGCTCTTAGTTTTGCTGTGAGGAGGAATTTTCTACATTGCCAGTTTAAGAAAAATACATCATTGTCTTATTTTGAATGCTGCCTTTATGTTATTGCTCAGAAGGATGCAAAAGTAGCTTCTTGCTGCCTGTGAATCGTTTGCTGCATGGCTTTTTGTGCAGCTTTCTTGTGATAAAGCTTTGCACAGTAGTAATGATTTCATATTCAGGCATCTGCTGTTTGTCCAGTTACTATGGGATTAAAATGTTACTGACAGTTTTGTGTCCCTGCATGCACTGAAGTGAGAAAAAACTTCACATTAATTAATCTAATTCTTGCTCCTTTCAGTACTTTCTGCAGACACATGGGTTGCATCAAATTGAATTCAAGTATTGTTTTTCTTCTGAAACATGGTTTCCAGAAGGTTGCAAGATGAGGACATTAAAACGAGAGAAGTCGTACCTCCTAGAAGGAGGATTATGCTGCTAAGCTTTCAACCCTTGTTGTAACCACATTAAGTGAGTCACCAAATCCAGTCTAAGGACAGGATTGTGCAGACTGGCAGGAATGTAGCCTTACAAAAATACTACATGACAATAGCTTTTCATTGTCATAGTGCATGTAGGTATCCAAATTCAATTATGCTTATTAGAAAAATCAGATTTACATACATTTATGCATGACTGTCTCTAGGAGATGACAGATACAAGTAGAGTGGAATAGAAGAGGGTTTGAGGTTTTTTCCTCACCCATTCCTAGCAGGATGTAGGTACAGTTCTTCATCCCCACCTTTTGGGAGACACTATCAGTGGAAGATATCTGTATAGTCCAGTCTTTGTCTCATAGAAGCCATACCATTTTAGATACAGAATTTTATTATCTTATTCTCAGCACCTTTGCCATTTTAAACACCTTGCCAAAAATAGGGATCATGGGAACGAGTAACTGTGCTTACTGTGGTAGAGTGGTTTGTCTTGCAGTCAGTATCAAGGAGAAAAACCAAGCCGAACCCGTATTTTAAAGAATTGCCCAATTTTTGGTATATCTTTTCCCATTTTCTTTTTTCTTCTCTGAAAGGGGAACATCTCTTAAAGAACTGACTGAACCAGTTAATCAAACAGCACAGAGTATGTCTGTATTCTATCTATTAGTCTCTCCCTAGCACACACTCTGAAAATTTGAGACGAAGGATCAGGGTTTCCCTTTCCTGCTTTAATTGTTTAACACTCCCAAAACCCTGCCTACCCACATCCACACCCTGGGGAAATCACCATATTTCTCTAGCATTATACAGCTCCCTTCTAGGACATAGTATACAGCTCCCTTCTAGGACATAGTATACAGCTCCTTTGTGGCTGATTCTATCATATCTTAGCAACTTACCCAAAGCAAGCTACTTTAGCCTTCCACTGTAAGCAGCTGGATAAACCCAGGCTGCTATGCAGATTCATGGGTTTCTATGAATAGCTTCTGCTGACCGTTTTATGAGGTGGGACTGACATGTGGAAAGATCTGTGGGAAGCCTTTGGAAGCTCAAACATGCAAAGGCACTGACTACAACTTTGAAGAAAAAGAGAAACAAAACCGAACAACCAAAACAAACCCCAGGATAGTTACAGCATAACTGATTAAAACCTCAAAAACCCCTGTTCTCCTCCAGTGCACATCTGCATTTCTGTAGGAGAACAGTTAGCTCTCTGCACAGGGAGATCCTGCCATTTGGGCTGTTCAAGGATTCCAGAACATGTGCTGAGGAAGGAGACTTCATACCTATGCAAGAAGCTTGGCTGTCCCTCTGCTGCTATAGTACACTCTGGAGGGAGACCTTACCCCTGAGCAGCAGGTTCATTTTAGTAATGGAGATTTACACCCCTGCAACATGGATGCAAGTCTCTGAGTAATTGATTTAATGATAGAAATTCATCTGTCACACTGCATGATAAGCTTTCATAATAACCTCATAAGTCTCTGTTTGTCTGCAGGCACTGGGCCTGGGAAATGTGTTCAGAATTAACTGCTGCTTTCAGAGAATTCAGCACTCAGATTTACTCTAGTGCTACTGGTTAACTAGTGCTTGTAGTTTTACTTTTGTACTGCTAGGTGTTCAAGTACTAGAAAGGTTATAGGACCTGCACAGAGAACAATACCTCCTGAAGTATCTACACACAGTCATGCTGCTTTGGGAAGGGCATAGGAAGAGAGTATAGAGCTTGGAATAGCGCTAATGCTTATTGGAAAGGGTTAAATTTTTATTTTGGTTTACTTCTTCACAGCAAAGCAGGTTATAGGGTTAGTGGTTTTGTAGGTTGGGTTTTTGGTCGAGTTTTTTCTTCATTCTCTTTGTGTGTTTATACCTAGGTGGATTTCTTGGCTTTTTCAGATCCCCAAATGATCATAACCAGAATGGTTTTATTAACATTTGTTTCAACACAAGTATCAACAGTTTCTTTAATCTGAGGCCCTGCCGTGGTTTCAGCTGGGATGGAGGGTTGTTTTTTATTTTTTTCTAGTAGCTGGTGCAGTGCTGTGTTTTTGCTTCAGTCTGAGAACAATGCCAATAACACACCAACGTTTTAGTTGTTGCTAAGTAGCACTTACCCCAGTCAAGGATTTTTCAGTCTCATGCTCTGCCAGTGAGGAGGAGCACAAGAAGCAGGCGGGGAGCAGGGTTGGGACACCTGACCCAAACTGGCCAAAGGGGTATTCCATACCACAGCATGTCATGCCCAGTATAGAAACTGGGGGAGCTGGCCAGGAGGGGCCAGTCACTGCTTGTGGACGGGCTGGGTTTTGGTTAGTGGCTGGTGAGCAGTTGTACTGTCCATCACTTTTTGGTTTTGGGATTATTTTGTTTGTGTGTGTTATTCCTTCCTCTCTCTCTATTTCCTTTCATTATTATTGTATTTTACTTTTATTTCAATAATTAAACTCTTCTTAACCCACAGTTTTTTACCTTTTTTCTGATTCTCCTTCAGATCCCACTGTGGGTGTGTGTGTGAACAAGCAGCTGCATGGTACTTAGTTGCCAGCTGGGCTCCAACTATGACAGGCCCAAAATTACCCTCATTAGAGTCTCTACCCAGGAGACATTTTGTTTCTATGTTAGAAATTAGTTACATTGGCCTTTTACACAGCCTTGCATTTATTAATTATTTATTGTGTATGGCCTACTAAATAGAAAATGAAGTTCCTTTAGTTAGTTTAGCTTATTTGCAGCTCAAATCAGATTGGTCTCCACAAATAGATGCTGTCTGAAACTTAGTTATTTATGAGATTATTGTACGTTATTTTAAAAGGTATTTTTGCCCTGAGATAATTTTAGGTTTACACGTCCTTTTTCCACATCCTTGCCATATATACTCTTAATACTCTAAGTTCTCATGACATCTTATAGGGAAAGGAAGAGATCTGACCCAAATGGCATTTCTGCCATAAATGGTACTGATTTGTTGAGGTCTCTATCACTAATTCAGCCACCTTACAACCTCAGCTTCTTACTGCCTCACAAATCAGACCAACTTTTCCCCAGCTCTGCACACAAGGCCTCTATCAGATTACTAGGTCTTATATACCCAGCAGGTAATTCTAGTTTGTAAATTTTACATAGGAGACATCAATTAGCATTAGTTTAGCTTAGCAGCAGTCACCTCCTGGATTCATGTTATGCCAGAGAACCCATCTTGTCCATTATTCCATTGATTTATTGTGTTAGTTTTCAGTCTGTGCCATGAATAATCTGAATAAATCTTTCTGTATGGTTCCATTTCTCCTAGATATTGATGAATGTGCTGAAAATGTTTGTGCTCAACTCTGTGTAAACTCTCCAGGAAGTTATAGCTGCTATTGTGATGGCAAAAAAGGGTTCAAGCTCTCTAAGGACATGAAGAATTGCGAGGTAAAACTGCACTATGTAAAATTCCATGTGGAAAATCACAAAGTTAGATATTTCTTCATGACAGCTGTAAGTTAGATTAAGGAAAATAGGCAGTTATTTGAGAACTGATTCAAAATTGCTGAGAAAGTGCTGGGAACTCCAGGCTGTGGTTTGGCTCACAAAATAGACCTGGTAAGGGATTTGGATGCATGCTCAGTTCATGCATGCTCATTTATAGGAATCCTGTCAAAAGAAGCTTTCCAGCTTTCCTTAGCCAGTCATCTTTATTCCCTGCTGCTTCCAAAATAAGCCCCAGCTTTCTCCTATCAAACAAATAATTCCCGTTCAGATTACTCAGAGCCAGAATACTGCATTTATCCATGTGTTCCCAGGTTTTCTTTAGACTGCTCAGAATATTTCGCTCACTCTTTCAGAATTACCCTATGCTTTGCTTGTTTGGGTCAAAACCCCTGGATTGTTTTCCACAGTTCTCATCTGCCACAGCTTAAGAAAAAGCATTTAGGGATGCTTGCCAGTTGAAGAACATCTTTCAGTCAAGACCAGCTGTTCTTGCTCAGTCTGAAAATTTATACTTCTTAGTAGCAGAAAATTTGTAACTCCAAAGAATCCTAGTTCAAGGATTTTCTTGTGAGTGATTCACTGTATACATTGAAAGGTGCTGGCAGGCTGAGACTTGTTACACTAAGTGAGATCAGATAACTGCCAATGAAAAAACACCTCTAACGTAGTGTAACAGAATTGGTCTTGAACTGTAGGAACAAGGTCTGACACAAGTTCTAGCATGTCTGTATTAGATCTTGTTTGTACTTTCTGAAATTTAATATCTGAACAACACTCGCAGTTATTATAGTTCATTTTGCTTGTTCATGAAATAGGAAGAGCATCTCCTAGCTTCATTACACGTTATTTTCAGTATCGTGTTCAAAAGCTATTGACTTTCTATCTGGAAGTTAGTTTCAGGCCTTTTAATAATAATAATAAAAAAGTTTAATCAGCTGAAAATATATGCAGTCCAAAGACTAGTGACAGTAGCAGACATAAAATGAAGCCATAAAATTCAAGATGAACACTTACACATTCAATGAAACTGCTGTATCGTGAATACAGAAATCAGAGTTTGGGAACTGCATTAACTTTTACCAAAGTACAGCATGTCTTGAGAACAGAAAAGCCCTTCACACCTAGTCTTGATCATTCCCTTTTGTAGGACTACTATACTGCCAACATATAGAAGATATTCAAGGGGTGCTGAGGAATAACTTCAGACCAAAGAGAATTTTAGGTTCCTACTAGTCAATGACATAGGTGCTGTAAACCACTTTCTGGAATAATCTTGCACCTTTCTCCACATGCAAAGCCCAGTTCACTGTACCTAAAGGAAATCTGAGTGGTTTACTTTTAAAACAAAACTCTAGATATTTCTTTGTTTATAACATCACAGTTTCAGAAGACAAGACAACAATGTCTTACAATGGATACCTGACATTTCTTTACTGCAAGTTTGACAAGTTTAAAATTGCACCATATGTAAAATAGATATTATTCCTGGATATAAATGTCTTTAACGCTTCAGGTAGATAAGGACCTAAAAGAATAAGCACCATTTTTTCCCCTCTTAGTGAAACTGCAGTTGGCTGTCTGATTTCTCACATTGACTTTGGCTAGAGCATTAGGATTAATCTATTTTACATACTGTTGTAGGCTTTTCAGTTCCCAAAAATACGTAGAATTTCATTTACAGTTTTTTCTGAGAACGTGGGTGTTAAGAGCTTTGTATCCCCACTAACAGTTCTCAGAGATATTAATTCAGTGCTACTCCAGCAAGAATTGTAGTGTTGATTTTGTCACATTTCTTTCCATAGCTTGCACAGGACAAGTACATGCAAGGAACGGCCAGATAGAAACACTTTCTATTAGCCTGTTACTTAATCCACTTGTAAATTATTACTTTTTATTCCAGGTAAATTATTCTAGTAGTACTAGAGATTATTCAGGTATGAATAATTGTACATCAATATTGATAATGAAAACAAAAGGGGTGTTTTTTTATTTTTTAATTAAATCATTTCAAGACACAGTTCTTGCCTCATTCCCTTCTAACACCTGATCAGGTTTAGATTCCAGACACCTTTGGTAATGGAGCCTGACAGGACTGTAGGAGGTGGGAGTCACAGGTCCTTGATATAAGGAAAGTACTTGATGGAAGATTTGAATTCTTAATTCAAATGCTAACTATTTAAATATTACTTGCAACCAGAGTTCCACCAGAACGCTGTTACAACCTGAATTATCCCCTAACAGTGTAAATAATAGACATCTCAAGCAAAACCAAAACCATACCCCTTCATTTGTAAATAGTATTCAAGTTTTAAAAAAAAAAGGAAGAGAAAACAGAGGTAAGCCATTGCTTAGAAAAAGAGACAGGCTAGCAGCCAGCAACAGGAGTTGCTTCATGAACTATCACAGTGCATTAACAGCATTTTTTTTATTCTCTACCATTTTCAGGCTGTTACTGCGTGTATCCCAGTGAACCTTGAAAAGAATTATGAACTGCTTTACCTGGCAGAGCAATTTATAGGAATTCCCGTTCTGTACTTAAAGTTTAAGCTGCCAAATGTCACAAGGTAAGCATTTGCTATTGATAAAAGTATGCACTGAAATTACAGACATTTGTTTCCATTCATTTTCTGAGGGTTTAGAAAGAGTGCATTGCATGAATAAATGCTATCACCATCTCCCCACAGGTTAAGATACCTTTTATGAGGAGAATGAGTTAACTTGGATTCCTACATATACTAGCACTTAGAGGAAGCTGGAGTCATTTGAAAGTGAGCAGACGAGTAATGTGTCTGGAGTCAGTTTTACAGCATCTCTTATTGGTTGTACCATGTCTTTGAGCCACCTCATCAGTACAGACATGTACATGCTCTCCTACATGACAAAACTAATAGGTCATCAAGTTTCTTCCAGAGACCTCAGAAGCAGGTAGGAGGTGATAGCAGCTATGTCCCAGCCAGGAAACAGTGCACAGCTAGGGTAAAACATGTACCATTGCCATTCAGACATGATTACACCTGTGAATAACAGACTCTTCCAGCCATGATAGTCCTGGTTACGAGTGCTGTTGTAGGGAGCAGCATATGGACTGGGAGAAAGAGTTCAAAGAGATCCAGACTTGAATGGGCAAAAAAAGGAAGAGGATTGAAGGCAGTACGTTTCCATTAGTTTGTGGACAAGAGAGCAAAAAGACTGGTGCTTCCCCCTCACAGAATCTTACTCTTCCTCTGAAGGAAAGAGCAGGGGCTGGGGGAGGTGGGAGCCAGTGATATAGATACAGGAAGGCATTCAGAATTCTTAACATGAAATTCAGATGTTATAGGAAAATAATTACTGTATAGCTTCCAGTTATATATGGGAAAGGCTTTCATTTGGATGTTGCTGCTACTTTACTTCTGCTCTGGGTAAAAGCTGTGACATGCTACACACATACAGCTGAGAAACAAAACCAGGCCAATGCTCCTGCCTCCTCCTCCCCAGTGCTTCCTTTCACAGGGTGTTCCAAGGACACCAGCAGAACACAGTACCTTGTCAAGAGCACTGTCTGTATGATTTCCTTTACAGCTGCCAGAACAATTGCTAATGGTAGTGACCCTGTTATTACTTGTGGGCCTCCTCTCTGCGGCAGCTGAAATTGTATTGTTCTGTGATTTACTGACCGAACAATTTGAGGGTAACAGCAGCAGCAGCTGTTGAGCTGGTGATCCCCAGAGCCCCAGAACCTTACAGAAAAACATAAATATTGAGAACTTTTTCCCCTGCCACTATTCCAAGTTGACCAGGCATTAATGCTCTCCTAGAAGACCTTTCTAAGATGATAGATGTTTGACACTACCTTAATAGCATCTCTGTAAATACAGAATGATTTTTCTGTGGGTCTGCATGACAGACAATGACATCTAGTGGACAAAGAACAAGACTGAAAGTGACCCGAGTTCTTAATTACAGCTCCCTTACTTGTTTCTTGTTGTCATCATCAGATCCTAATTTCTAAATGTTTTGTTTTTTCCTTTCATCCTTTATCTTTTT